AATTGTAAAGGTAACTAACCAAACCCGAATCTACGGTAGTGTGCCCCCACTAGGACCGTGAAAACTACAGTAACTACTCGCAATTAGTCAGAGGTAATTACCCGTGCTCGCCAAATGAATGGCCTAATTCCCTTTATCTCCTGATAATCTCAGAATAAACCTTGTCCTCCTGAATGATGGCCCAGGGGAGACAACACAGTTTAATAATCTTCAACTATCATTAACTTGTCTAATTAGTATGTCCGTTACAGTTTCCTTTTAAATCATCATTTAGGCTCTTGGCAATGGCCGCGTGGTCTTTTATGTAACTACAAGACGCGTGTCAGGTGGGATGAATAATATCAAAACTAATTAACAATGCATTTATTTATCATTATCAAGTACAATATATATATATATATATATATATATATATATATATATATATATATATATATATATATATATATATATATATATATATATATATATCACTGAAAATCGGAAAAGGTCCAAATTACATAAATTTAGCACGATAAGAAAATTATGTTTACATTCATTAACATTTTCATCCTTAATATTTGCAAATGAAATGACAGATTCAACATTTTCCTTTTAGTTTAAGGGCCGCTTTCCTTCTTATCCCTTTATATCGTTTTTATTTTTTTGTGAAAACGGATATATATATATGTACATAAATTCATTCATATATATATATATATATATATATATATATATATATATATATATATATATATATATGGATATATATATATATATATATATATATATATATATATATATATATATATATATATATGGATATATATATATATATATATATATATATATATATATATATATATATATATATATATATATTCATTCATATATATATGGATATTTACACACACACACACACACACACACACACACACACACACACACACACACACATATATATATATATAACTGCTGCGGCAGTTATAAAAAATACCTGCGCTCCGATTAATGTGTCGAGCCCAAACTCACCGTGAGAAAACGACATATCGTCTTGAGAAGTCAAACGCAAGTGTCGTAGGGGAAGTCATCGCCTTGGCTGTTGATTAGGAAGGGCATCCAATCAGGCAAGGGTGAGACTGCCAAATAACTTCTCAATAGTGAATTGAGAGAGGCCTATGTCCTGCAGTGGAATACATGAAAAACATGTGTGTGTATGTATATATATATATATATATATATATATATATATATATATATATATATATATATATATATATATATATATATATATATATATATATATATATATATATATATATATATATATATATGAGTTATCTGAGGGGAGGAGGTCTGGCAAGGCCCACCTCCCCCAAAGCAACCATTTACCCCAGCGTGGCTGAGGGGCAGGAGGTGGTACAGAGCCGGGGCATGTCCACACACTGGTGGGCCATGTTTCCATACCTCTGGGGCCTCCTGCTGCTCTGAGATCCCCCACAGTTTGGACTGGGAGAGCAAGGTGCCCATTTTCCACGGATGGCATTATTGTCTCTACCCACTTCCGTGTTGGTGGAGTCAGTGCCTGGATGAAAGAATGTGATGAGCAAGCTGATGCCTAGGCAGCATGCTCTCTCTCTCCATGTAGCTGATGGATCCAAAGGAACGTCATAGACCGATACAGTTTGGCACCAGCGGCGTCACAGGAATTGCCAGAACGAGGTCGCAAGTGACAACAAACTGCCTTCGGGACTACTGCTCCGGATTTTTCCTCAGGGTTGACTCCCGAAGCCTTTGGTCATGCACAAACTACAAGACAGCAGTTGTTATGTATAGGGTGAACTCCCATAACCTTTGACCATATATGGAATGAACTACAATGCAGCAGTCGGGCATCACTATCGTGTCATATGTGTGTGTGTGTGTGTCTGTGTGTGTGTGTGAATATATATATGTGTGTATGTTTGTGTGTGTGTGTGTGTTTTTAAGAATAAAGGTGACATACAAGAGTGTTGGAGCTATAGAGGAATAAAGCTCATGTCACACGCAGAGAAGATATGAGAAAGAGTCATAAACAGAAGATTGAGGAACGTAGTGGACATCTGTGAGGAACAGTTTGAATTTATGCCAGGTAAAGGAACAACAGATGCCATTTATGCTCTTAGACTCCTAATGGAAAAATACCGAGAGGGTCAGAAATAATTGCACTGCGTGTTTATAGACCTAGAAAAAGCTTATGACCGAATGCCTAGAGAGGAAGTGTGGAACTGCCTGAGACTGAAAGGAGTTACAGAAAAGTATGTGAAATTGATACAAGACATGTACAGAGGAGCATACATACATGTAAGGAACACGACAGGAACCAGCGAAAAGTTTGAAATTAAGGTAGGAGTGCACCAGGGATCAGCACAAAGCCCACTGTCATGGATTGCCTGACAGAAGATGTGAAAAAAGAAGCGCCATGAGACATTGTATGCAGACAATGCAGCGAGAGAGAGGAGGCAAATCAACGCCTAGGACAATGGACAGTAGTCTTGGAATGAAGGTTTGCAGAAAGAAGAGAGAGTACCTGAACATGGGAGAAAATACAGCTGAGGGAACAATCAATCTAGGTGAAGATGAAGTGCCAAGAGTGAAGGAATTTAAATATTTAGGGTCCACAGTCCAGGAAGATGCCGGTAGAGACAGGGAGGTAAAGAAAAGAATACAGGCGGTATGGAATAGTTGGAGGAAAGTCATTGGAACTGTGTGTGACAGGCGGGTGGAAGAAAAAGTAAAAGGCAGAATTCACAATGTGATGGTGAGACCAGCAATGCTGTATGGGCTGGAAGCAACATCCTTGAAAAAGTCACAGGAAAGAAAGCTGGAGGTATCGGAGAAGAAAATGCTGAGATGGGGTCTGGGCCTAACAAGAAGGGATATGATCAGGAATGAAGTGGTGCTGAAAAGAGTGGGAGTGAAAGCATTACACGACTAACATAGAAAAAGCAAACTGCGGTGGAGGGGACATGTGCTGCGAAAGGAGATGGATTAAGTTGGAAGAAGATTGGAAAGGATGAAGGATAAGGATACGTCCGATATGCGAAGCTGAGCCTCGCCCGGGCTATGGGGGAGCCCAGCCTGTGCCGACTAATGTCGACTCGCTAACAGTGTGTCAGCTGGTGCTGACTCGGATGAGCTTAGTCCTTACCCACCGTGGTGCCCAGCCACAGCAGTGACCTCCAGGCGACAATTGCAACTTCTCACGCCTGGGCGGGGCGCGAACCGCCGACCCCTGTACTAGCCCGGAGGCTAAGGATGAAGGCGGGGAAAGCGAAGAGGGGAAGACCACGGAGAAGAATGTCTGACTGTTACAAAGAAGATATGGAAGAAGTAGGAGTGGAGGAGATAGATGCTCAGAACAGACAGCTATAGGGAAGACGGATTTGAATCGGCAACCTTACTCCGCAGTAGGAAGTGCCTGCAGAAGAAAAAGAGTATGTGTGTGCATATATAGATATGTGTGTGTGTGTGTGTGTGTGTGTGTGTGTGTACAAGATAATGATGATTATAAAAAAAACTAGAGCTTTTGAGATTATTTAACCTTTCATTTTTTCTCTATGTAAAGAAAGAACGAAATTACTTCTTAAACTTCAGTTAAACTAGTCTGAAAGGTCGCAGTTTCTTACTGTGTAAAGAACCATTGCATTTTTTCTTTTCTTTGTCAGTTCAACTGTTTGTGCTTTCAAACTATCGCACAGAAATTCATGAATAATCTGTGGATAAATATAGATTGTTTTTATGGTCTCCTCTTAATGAGAACCAGGTAATTAAACGTCCAATTCTAACTTTTCCGAAGACTTTGCTGCGGAGGTATGCTAATCCTTGCAAGCGCACAGTTCAAGCTAATATCCTGTAACGCTAGGTCCCTGTTCTTTGATATTTTGTTCCTTGTATATCTATCTATCTATCTGTCTATCTATCCATATATATATATATATATATATATATATATATATATATATATATATATATATATATATATATATATATATCGCTCTATCTATTTTTCTATTCATCTGTCTGTCTGTCTGTCTCTCTCTCTCTCTCTCTCTGTCTCTCTCTCTCTCTGTGTCTCTCTCTCTGTCTCTGTCTCTGTCTCTCTCTCTCTCTCTCTCTCTCTCTCTCTCTCTCTCTCTCTCTCTCTCTCTCTCTATATATATATATATATATATATATATATATATATATATATATATATATGTAAATATATATATATATATATATATATATATATATATATATATATATATATGTAAATATATATATATATATATATATATATATATATATATATATATATATATGAATATATAGATAGATAGATAGATAGATAGATAGATAGATATAGATATAGATATATATGTATGTGTGTGAGTGTGACGGATATCCTTTATATTTTTATATCTGTCTGTCGGTCTGTCTATTTATTTATCAATCTATAGAATATATATTCATATCTATCTATATATCTATACTTGTATCCATCTATGTACCTATATGATGTTATATACACACACCGATTTGTCTATATATATATATCTATATCTATATATATCCTATATACAAAATTGTCTTTCTTTAGGTTCATCCATCAGCCCACCTACCTATATACGTATATATGTATATATGTGTATTTACGTATAGAAAGTGCATATTATTGTAGGGCATTATGTCACGAGCATATATATGGCTTCAAGGAACCTCAGTTGTAATGCAATGGACAAGGGACGAGGGGCGAGAAAGAGGGCGATGCAAAGACGAGGGAAGGAAGGAAGCTAATTGAGGGGCAAATGTCAAAAAAATCATGTCACTCGAAATTGTCAAATATAGAGGTTAATGGAGAATTGGAATTCGTAATGCTTTAACTCAATCACAAAAATATTCTAATCAGACGACCTTCAGTGGCTTATTTGTTATTGGAAGAAAATTTCTGTGAATAAATTATTTGTAAATTTTTCCCCTCTTTCTCTCTCTCTCTTTTTATATCATAAAGTTCTAAAGTTGGATTCAAAATGGTTCGGGGTCTTTCCTTTGATATCATTCATGCCGAATGTGTTTTTGTGTAGTTCATAAAGTGCTACAACAACTAATTTTGAATTGTCACCATTCTATATATATCTAATATTTCTTAATTAATAAGGATATATTTATGATTTCATATTTTCTCTTGTGTTTATTTAAAAAGTCAACTGTACTAACGAATCAGATTGAAAAAAAAAATCACTGTTACATCCTCTCTGCTCATTGTTGACAACACTCAGTGGCATTCATTGTCACATACACATTCCATGAAACGACTATTAAAGCCCATAATCCCATATCCAAGCTTACCTTTGGGGAGCATAACATGTGAAGAACGTATATTCTAACCTGTGGGATGATACAGTATCATAGCTTATTCCTCTCTACCCTGACTTTGACCCCAGTTGATGCTAGTACTCACTCACAGTTGGGATAACTGGGAGTGGCTGGCCATCCGTAGATGGGCACTGACACACATATACTCCTCTGCAATATATAATTTTAGGGGAAAGAGAGAGGATGAGTTGCTTTTTAAATACTTTTTATTCACTTTTATTCATTCTGATTTTGTGTGTGTGTGTGTATGGGGGGAGGGGGGTAACATGCCTTGGCAAAGATGTCTTCTCTCAGAGAAAACCACTCAAGATACTGAAGCTATCTGATCGAGTGTCATGCAGCAAAAATACAGTTTATATCTAGGTTAATTTAATCATATATTTTTTTAGAATTACTAATTTACTTTATTTCATTTATATTTTGCCTACCTGGCTTGATTAGTATCACAAAAAAAGTATAAATACGAAGGTGTTATAGGTTCCCCCCAAATTTCTTGTAGGGAAGTAGATTGACGATTTAAGTCTGTTCATCCCTGATCTATGAGGATAATAAGCTGTTAAACCCTGCGGTGTCAATCCCCCCATTTCGTTGTCTTTTCTATCAGTTGAAGAATAAATCTGTTCGTAAATGAGTTTCAATGTATTTTTCGAATTCTCTCTCTCTCTCTTGCTCGCTCTCATTCTCTCTCTCTCTCTCTCTCTCTCTCTCTCTCTCTCTCTCTCTTCTCTCTCTCTCTCTCTCTCTCTCTCCATCTCTCTCTCTCTCACTCTCTCTCTCTCTCTCTCTCTCTCTCTCTCTCTCTCTCTCTCTCTCTCTCTCTCTCTCTCTCTCCATCTCCATCTCTCTCTCTCTCACTCTCTCTCTCTCTCTCTCTCTCTCTCTCTCTCTCTCTCTCTCTCTCTCTCTCTCTCTCTCTCTCTCTCTCTCTCTCTCTCTCTACCTCCTTCCTTCAACTCCCCCCTCTCTCTATCCCCCTCACCCTCACCCTCTCTCTCTCTCTCTGTCTTTCCCTCCCCTACACTCCCCTCTCTCTCCCTCCTCTTTCTATCTTTCTGTCTCCCTTTTCCTTTCTTTATACCTCTCTCTGCGTTTCTCTCCTTATCCCTTCCTCCCACTCAAAAAGAAGAAAAAAATAAGACGGGAAATATTTGAAAGAATCTTTTGAAGAACGTGATTTGCACGATTTCACGGGCGAATGAATGGATGGCAGAAGACCGGAAAACGCAGTAAAAATAAAGAAGAGAAAAGGAAAGAAAAGAAAAGAAAAAAGGAAGGGAAGGATGAGTTTAAAATAATTGAAGTAGATAAGAAATTGACAGATAAGAAAAAGAAATTTCTTCTGTCCTTTGTTTGTTTGTTTACGGTGTTTCTTCCCAAGCTTTGTTAGCTAAGCATTAACCTCGTAACCCCCCCCCCCTCCTGGCTGCTACCCCCCCCCCCCAGCCTACCACCTCCTTCTTCATTATTCCTTTTTTATTATCTATTCTTCCTCCTTCCTTATTTATTATTTAGTGTTCCTTCTTCCTTTTTTATTATCCCTTCCTCCTTTTTAAAATCTTCCTTATTTCTTCTTTGTTCTATATTCTTCGTTCTTCCTTCTTCCTTGCAGATGTACAATGCTTCCGCCCTACCAGGGATATTGGTCCTTCCTTCTCCTCTTTCCTCCTTCCTTTTCCTCTTTCCTCCTTCCTTCTCCTCCTCTCCTCCTTTCTTCTCGTCCTTCCTTCTTCCTTCTCCTCCTCTCCTCCTCCTTCCTTCTCTTCTTTCTTTCTCTTCCTCTCCTCCTCCTTCCTTCTCCTTCCTTCTCCTCTTTCCCTCTCCTCCTCTCCTCCTCCTCTTTCCTTCTCCTCCTTCCTTCCCCTTTCTCCACCCTCCACGCTCTCACTCCCCCACGTCCACCTTCCCTTTCCCTCCCCTCCTCCGCCCCCTCCTCTCCTTCCCTTGCTCCATCCACCCCTTCCCCCACCCCCCCCCCTTCCCTCCTAAACCCCCAAGGCCTCACCCCCCACACTTCCAGCCTCCTTTCCTGAACCATGTCCGTCTTCCTTCCCTTTACCCCCCTCCCCCCTATAATGCCCTCCCACCTCGTCTCTTACTTTTCCATATCCTCTTCCTTCCAGCAACACCCCTCTTCTCCCTCCCTCCTCCTACCCCCGCCCTCCTTTCCTCCCTCTCTCCACCCTCCCCCCCCCCATCTCCTCCACCCTCCTCTCCCTCTCCCTTTTTTCTCCCTCGTCCTCACCCTCCCTATCCACCCTCTCCCTCTCTTCGCCCACCATCTCCCTTTCTCCTTCCACCATTCTTACCCCTCTCCCTCTCCCGCTTTCTTATCCTACCCTCCTCTCTCCCTCTCCTTCCCCACGCCCTCCATTCTCCCTTTCCTTCTCCCTATCTCTCTCCCTCTCCCTCTCCCGCCCTCCATCTCCCTACCTCTCTCCCTCTCCCTCTCTCTCTCCTTTCCTTTCCCTTCCCCACCCTCTCCCTCCCTCTCCCTCTCCCTCCCTTCCCTTCCCCACCCTCTCCCTCCCTCTCCCTCTCCCTCCCTCCCCTTCCCCCACCCTCTCCCTCCCTCTCCCT